ACGAGTCTAGAGGATTCGTACAAAGCCTAATAAAGTTAAAGCATGACTGCCGAATTATAAAAAAAAAAAAAAAAAAATATTCTATTGAAAATTTTGCTAAAATTTTGCAAACTCTGATACTATTTTAATATCAAATTTAACTTTTTATAACTTAAAAATCATTTATGATGAAATTAACTAGTTTTTTTTTACAATCTTATAATATTATATTTGTTCTTTTGCTTATTTGCAATATTAACAAGATCACAAGAATTACAATATAAATATTTTAACTATTTATTTGTTATTTAATATTTTCTTCATTAAAAATTTGAGCTACTAGATTTGCTAGATTGTAATTAAGATTTCCTAAACTTACTCATTAAGTGTTATGGTTTACTACTATATTCTGATTTTTAATAAACGAATTGTTATTTCTAACGAAGGCTGGATTTGAAAGATTAATTATTTCTTTGATTAACAAATTAGCTTCATTTATATTATCTAATTGCATATAGGTATTGCATGATTCAGAAATAGAGTTAAAAGAATTTGAAAATTCTTCAGATTGCTCAAATTCTAATTAGCTAGAATTAACTATTGATCTATTTACACTATTTCTAAAGTTACATTCTAGCAATTCTTTGCTATAAAAATTTAATTCACTTTTAATATTTGTATGACAAAATGATTAAATTTTTGACATTGCTTCCAAATGAAAAATGTTAATTCTTGTTTTGTGATCTCAAAAGATCTACTTTAAAGTTGAAAAATTCTGCTCACATATAGCTTGTGATGGGAGAATAGAAAAGATTTTAATAGCTAGTTCAGCTAATGCATCTTTTTGGGTATCAATACTAAGCCACCATTTTAAAGATGATTTCTTTTCCTTTTTAAATATTTGTATATAAGGTTTTTCTCTATATTTATAGGTATGAAGCTCCATTAATAAATCTACACAAGATGCTTCATCATACCCCAGTTCTTGCCACATTATACCTGCAGTTTCACTAATTTGGTTAAATTGACCTTACTTTAATCCAGTATCTAAAATGTAATATATATAGAATTTATTAAAATAGATTATTAATAAATAAAATTAATTATATATATATCTTGATATAGTAGATGCAAATAGTATACAAGCTGATATAATAGTGTAGCAAACTCCTTAAACTGTAAATTATAAATCTTTATGCTTTAGATTTAAACAAGTTAGCATTTGAAAAATGGTTTATAGCTGCTACAATTTTAATTAATACTATATAGCAATCAGCAATAGTTGCATGCTGACTTTCTAATTGATTGATCATATCCTTTATAGGTTTAAAAATTGCTAATATATGGCAGCATTGATTTAAAAATTCAAAATTTTAAATTAAATTGAAGACAATCTTGTTAGAAATTACAGTCACATAATTGTTGATAAGCTAAATATATTAAAAATATAGATTAATTTAAAAATATTTGCATTAAATAAATTTTTAATATATATTATAAATTTACCTAATCAAATACTGGCTGCATATGAATAAGAGAATCTACAGTTATATACAAAGAACTCATCATATTTTACAATAAGTTTTAAGCCCACCTCTTTCAATATTCATAATTGTTAATCCTTTTTTTAAATATCTATTAGCTATTGAAGAGTGATGAAAAAAACTTACTATCATTTCACATTGTTTAATTAAGCTTTTAATTTTATCTGTTTCAGATAAATCTGATGCTATTAAGTTAACAGCATGTACACCACACCATATATTAAGTATAAAGTTATATTGCTCATTAACTAATTGTTTTGCTTATCTTACATTAGAACTATAATCAGTAACAACTATAACAAATTTTTCTACTCCAATTTTATTTAAAACATTATTAATTTCCTCAGCCAAAAAGTCTCCAGTTTGTGATATAGTTGAATAGTCTTTAATTTGAAATAAATACTCTTGATGACTAGGAATTATAATTATATAATTATAAAATGATACTCCTGTTAGTGCCATCTATCTATCAAGTGCTACATAAAAAAAATACATATTATTAATTACTAAAAAATATTAAGTATAAAAAATTAATACAATATATAAATTATTTATTTAAAGTTAGATTCATTTCATCTTCTAACTCATTGTTAATTAATCTTTCAATTTTAGCTACTTCTTCATCAAGAATACATTTAGAAAGAGTATATCATGAAAGAGAATTATATTTAGTATTTAAAGTTTTGAGCATATCAATTATGAAAGGATTATCAATAGTTTCAAAGAGAATTCCAGCACACATCCATCCCTTTAAAATAGCCTTATCAATTTGTCACTGCTTTTCTTCTGATATTATTTTTAAAGATCCTGTTTTAACTTTAGTTTTATTTCACCTTCTAATTGTTTTTTCCTCAAATGCCAAATTATCTTGCCAGATTTCTTTAATTTCATAAGGAACTTCTGCATATTCTCATGCTAAATGTCTCTTAAGTGTCTGTGGTTTTCCATAATTCCATACAGTTGAACAATATTTGCAGCTAGCTTCATAATGCCCATCACCTAAGGAATTTCCAGTATTAAAATCATTCCAAACCAGATCTCTTTTAGGTTCACCACCTCGGCATCTTTCTTAGGTTGATTGGATTGAAAATTTTCTTCATCGGATGAGTTATTTTGACTATCATCAATTTCTTGAGATGTACCAATTTCATTTTGCTCTTGGAGTGGTTTTAATAATTGTTCAGAAGTGGACGATTGACAAGTATAAAGTTGATTAACATTATAATGTAATTCAGATAATGGCAAATTATTTAAAATATCATTGCTTGTATTCATTGTGGAAAAGACTTTTGTTAAAAAACAATTTCAAGAAAGTGATTAATATATTATTTTTATTACGTCAGTGATGCTATGATTGATTAATTACTTATTACATATTTATTACATATTACATTTATCATAATAACACGCATCTGATTAATTATATCCAATATATTGAATATAGTAATCGGCCACATATTCATAGTTATAGATATCAAATTTGACATTTGAATACGGCATTTGGGATTCATACGGCTTTTGCCGTAACCGTAACTTGCTATGTGTCGTACGGTTCACTGGAAATTCCGCCTGCATCACTAGTCAGTAGGTATTATGTTCTTTCGGGAAAGTGGCTTTCAGATTTTGTGGTAGAACCATTTTGGTTTATCAAGTGACCCAGAATTAATAAGAATATCTGTAAATTCGGTAAAACATCCTTCGGTAAAAGAGCTTTCAGTAAAATATTTTCGAAGAAATAGAATGTCAGAAAAATGTACCATTCGGTAAAATTGCATGTCAGTAAAATAGACATTCATTTTTTTAGTATTCGGTGAAATGAAAATTACAGATAAATGTCTTATCGGTAAACTTTATTTTCAGTTAAATGAACTTTCGATAAAATGGGATTTTCAAAATTATGTCTTGTTAGTAAAATGGAATGTCAGTATTGTGACTTCGGTGAAATGGTAGTTCAGTAAAATTGATTTCGGGAAGTTAACTCGTAACCCACATTTGCAATATCATAGAACAACCCGTTACCACCGGTAAGTGAATCATATGTGAAATGATTTGATTTTTTGATTGTTATCTGCACTAACTGACATATACATTGCTTTTTTTTTATTAGCTTCATCCTTCATCCAGTAATAAAAGACGGCGTGGAAATCATATCATAACAAAACAACAGAAGGTCCATTACACCTCACTGATGCTTCCGTACGCGTGACCATGTATGTGCCTGAGTTAACTTATGCCAAATAACGATCTAATACAGTAGTGTTTTACGGATCCATGACAGTAATTCAAGAGGTCAACAACGTAATGATCGAAGTCAACGAAAGAGATTTCTTTTAAGAAATAAAGGGTGTTCTCAAGCACCTTAACCAATCCGTCGGAACGGGTTTGAGGGTAAATTTTTATTAGTAAAAAAATAGTTTAACGAATCAATTGCATTGATTATTCCAATGAATAAAACACGTAACGAAAGTTTTTATTAGCGGAAGTTCGTTTAACCGACCAAGGGTATTTATCATTCCAATCAACAAGAGATAGAGGCCCAGGTGTCCTTTTTCTATCATATAGTTGTGTTTATTGGTCGAAATTTTTCATTGATTGATTAGAAAAAATAATTGTTCAAGTACTTCACTCTTTTTACATTATTATCGCTATCGTTATGGATCTTCAAATCATTATCATATTACATGCTAAAAATATTCGCCGCAAATAAAAAAGACTCGTTTTTGTGTTCTGTTGGTTCGTAGTAAATTCCGAAAAAGAAGTAACAAAATTTGGAAGTGTCGTAGATATAGTTGTTAGACGAAACCTTGAGGTTTCGCGCTGACGAAATGCGAAACCTAGTTTCGCTTTTCGTAAATTAAAATCAAATGAAAGGTGACGAAACTGACGAAACTATAAAGAGGGACAAAACTAATAAAGGCGAATATACAAATAAATGTTGTTGAAATTATTGAAGATTATGCGTATAAAAAAAATGGCCTACCAAAAACAGAAATTATAAAAATTACAAAAAATATTATTGTACAGTATAATAGGCGCTTGAATTGTTTAAAGGGAGTTAGAAATGAGTTTTCTATATTGTATTATACTAGAAACTACATACCAGTCCTAGTGAGAAATCGTTTGGTGCTTACTTTGTGATCTTACGAATTTATTTATGAACTCTTCGTCAAATCGCTCTATACTGTAAATGTTTTAAAAAAGGACTGAGTTACAAGAATATATTCACAATACATTTGAAAAATTTACTAAATTTCATGATATCAAATCTGTTAATTAAAATTGTAAAACTTAGATTACTGGTATAACTTTTGTATTAATATTCATCAAATACAACTATTAAAACCACTAAAGATTATTATTGGGCCAAAAAACATTCAGATTACAAAGTCATTGAATTGGTAAATCCTGTATTACAACTTATTAAAGTCGAGTGAATTTGTTAATGTGTCCTGTTGACAGAATATATAGCATACTTTGTAATTTATGTCAAGGTGCTTAAAACATGTTGATTCTTCCAAATCGATAAGTTTTTTGCTGGTAGTTTATCAATTCATCGTAATTTATATTTGTCTTAGGAATATGAAAATAATCAATTTAGCCGAATGCGAGCAAAATAATTTTTTTTCCTCAGGGCAATATTTCATTCAAATACGGTAAATTTGAACTCGATGAAATTAGGTTGTTGCTCATATTATATGGGAAGACCCAAAATTAGAATTCCATTGGGCATTTGTAGCTTTATACATAATATATTGTTTGAATTATCTCGGGACACATCTGGATAATAAATTTTAGAAACGACGAGTTACATACTAGAAATTATAAAAATTTCTAGAAAACGCGACAGTGATTATAATGCAATTGTGGCTATAAAGATATTTTTCTATAAAAAAGACGGGCACACAAAATAATAGATAATGTAATCACGATTCCAAGGACCACCATGAACATGTAAAATTAATGCCAAGATTTTTTTTTGGTTTGTATGACTGTACATATATTATAATTTATTATTGTTATTATCATTATTTAATAAAGATTTGCCACCGACACATTATGAATGTCGCTGAAATAGATCGGATTAAAATGAAATGTGGATTTCTATTTAACCCTTTAAAACCCACTTATACTCGTTTATTATAAACTCTACCCTAAAACCCTAAAAAATGTTCCTCAAAAATTTTTATTTTTCGGTGGCTTGTCTTTTTTTTCACATTATACTGTATTTTAATCCGATTTCATTTTAATCCGCCACAATTACCGTTTAGCACTGTATACAGTAACCAGGGTCTTATTCAAGAACACCATTTTTAAAATTGAATAGTACCGGGTACTTCCAGCAATTTCATTGGTGGAGAAGGAGGGTACTTTATGTGGTAGGATATTATTCGAGGGGGATACTTTATACAGTGCTAAACGGTAATGATATCAAATAAATATTCAGAATTATATTGCAAAAATAAAATTTCAGTGATTAAAGAACTTTGCAGGGACATTAAATGTGGATTGGTTTCCTTCATATGTGAAAAGGGTGTTATTTCTGAAAAAGATATTTTATTATCCCATAACTTTTGGGTAATAAATTCCAGATCATTCATGATTTTATATGCAGTTGGTCGCTTTGAAGGATCATAATTCCAACATTCCTCTATTAGTTCAACTAATTCTTGTGGAGTGCCATCGATAAACTCGGGACGAAGACCATAAATAATATCTAAAATAAGAAATTCATTATGTTTTCGGTCATGAAAAGGTTTACATCCACTAATCATTTCCCACATAATCATTCCTAAACTATAAATGTCTGAATGTTTGGTATAATGTCCGTGTTCTAGTACCTCAGGAGCAATATATGGAATTATACCATAAACCTGATTTTGATTATAAGACGTGTCTGCTAGCTTGCTTACACCAAAATCACTGATTTTAGCACGTGGAGAATAGCTGCCATCGCCATTCATAAGTATATTTCCACTATGAAAATCACAGTGAATGATATCTTTCTGATGAAGAATCATAAGATTCCAAGCTATAGATTTTAGTATGTTTAATTTTTCGTACCATGTTAAAATGTGATTTAAAAGAAAATGATGCAAATCCCCATATTGTGCTAATTTCATGACTATTATAAACTTTTTAGTCTTCGGATCTTGACTGATGCCATAAATTTCCTGGAAGTGTAAATCAGAGAAACTTTTTCCGCATCGATTATAGATCATTAACTAACAAAATAATAAATAAATAAATAATATTATATATTTAATATATTTAGTTTTAATATATTTAATTATATATTTCTGAATACTAACCTCGTTCAAAAAGATAGAGACCATGTTTTTAGTATCTTCAATAACTTTAAGAACAACGTCAATTTCACATTCATTGCCATAGTTCCAAGTTGCTTTATAAATTGCGCTAGACCCTCCTTTATTGATACAAATAACATTGGTGAATTGATCGTATGAAATTTTCAAATATTGAGTAAGTATCTCTTTGATGAAATAATCGACTAATTTATTATCATATAATACTTGATCGTATAGAATTTTCAAATATTCACTATCGTGAGTATGTGTCTCTTTGATGAAATAATCGGTCAATTTATTATCGTATAATATTTGATTGTAATGAATGTTTCGATGCACATTCATATCATAAAGCTTTAGACTGGTAATTGCCCTTTTTAATCAAAGATTTTTAAATAGTTTTATAAATCGAATTTATATATTTGTAAGTGGGAATAGAATTTAAGTTATAGATGTTTGAGTCAGAGTGAAGAGCAGATTTCAGTATAGTTATCTAAGTAGGTCTCGAATTAACTTTAATTCTATTCCGCTTACTACATATACAAGCCAAAGTTTTAACTGTAACGTTATACACATGCGAAGATTTATATTAATCAGAATATTTTTTTTTCGGCTAAGCAGACTAACTGCAAAATTTGATCATTTAGCGCTGATTGCAGCACAATCGCCATTATCAAATCCTTGGTATAATTTTGGCGGTATGTGGATTTACACAAGAGAATTCATACATGCATAGCATTACATAGTTATTTTTTTCCGGTTTTCTTAGTCACACAAAATCAGTAAAAACTTGTAATTCGAAATCATGAGCTTTATTTATAACGATAATATTTGATAAAAAATATATAATAATTTATTACCGTAAAATATGGAAAATAAGCACAGCACCTTCTACCCTTTTTCAATTTCAGATTAACGGGAATAACTTGACTAAAGATTTTATTGTTATTTCCGCTAATCTGAAATTGAAAAAGTAGGGTATTCTCTATGTTTTACGGTAAATCATTTAGTTTTAATGTAATATATAATTGTTTAAATTGTATTATTATTTATATAAATAAAAGTCGTGATTTTTTAAATTACTAATTTTGTGTAACTAAAAAACCAGAATAAAAGAAATACATATGAATTCCATGCATGCATTAATTCTCTTGCATAAACCCATAAAAAGTAACAGAATTTTTAGCTAGCTTTAGCCCGAAAAAAAAAAAAAAACTTTGATTAATATGGTTTAATAAAATTTTCTACGTTATTACCTTCCAAATTCAGAAAATAATTGTATTTTAAGGGTTTTCATACAATATTTTAGCACTATTCTTTCTTTTAATGTGTTAAATTGGAAGCTAAAATAACAATTATCTTAAAGTGTTAGAATGGACAAATGAAAAAAAAAATTATAATTTTAGAAGCGATGCTTAGTAAATAGCTCTCATAATTCTTATCGCATAGTGTGACTCAATTATAAAGTTTTCAGTGACCATAATGAGTGTTGTTTTATCGAGAAAATGGGGTCTTGAATCCTAAATAAGCTGTATAGATCTCTAATTTTGACTGTAATGTTATACACATACGAATATTTACCATCACACATTTAATTCAGCCGAATCGGCTAACTGTAAAAACTTGCTTAATCAAATCTCTTTAGCATGATTTTGGCCTATATGGGTTTACATAAAGAAATTAATGTATGCATGTCATTACGTACAGTGTACTTGTACTTCTTTTTTATTCCAGTTTGATCATACGAATCAATAATATATTTTAGCTTATAATTCAGTGATGAATGGATTTGCTATATGATAATTAAAAATAACCGTCAAAAAATATAAATGCAGTAAATTTAATAGTATATTGTGTAATTCAGACTTTTAGACCGATTTGTTGTGTGACTAGAAACCGGAATAAAAGAAATACATCACATGCATGCATGATTTCTCTTGCATAAACCTAAAAATTATACCAGATACGTACTGTACGTACGATAGCGATTGTGCTGCAATTAAGTTAGTAAGTAGGCTTAGAAATCCTACAGTTAAAATTATTAGTCAAAATTATAGAGCTGTATATTACCTACCAAACCGGGAAAATAATCATATATTGCTATATTTTATTAATGCAAGGGGGTTTTTTTTTACAAGGTTTTAATCCTGTCTTTAATGTGTTAATTTTGTTGTCATTTCTGTAAACTTGAAATTAAAATAACAATTACGACTTAAAATGGACATTGAAACTTGTTATATATATATATATATATTATAGAAGAGAAAAAATTATAAAATTTAGATGCCTAATAAATAACTTGCGGTTCTTGCCGGTTCTTGTCACATAACGTAACACAATTGTAAAATTTCCAGTGTAATATAATAGAAAAATCAGTAAACATACTGTAACAAGAGTTTTTTCAAGAAATATTTGTTGCTTGAAATCTTAATTTGACTGTAACACTGTATATGCGAAGATTTACTATAACATTTCGAATTTTTTTCGGTTAAACTAACTACGTATAAAATTTGCATAAATGTTATTATCAAATCTCTTTTGGTATGATTTTGGCGCGCATGGATTATACTTACACAAATAGTATTCATACATGCATGCCATTGTGTATATACATTCTTTGATTCCAGTTTCTTGGTCATACGAAATCAGTAAAACTTTATTTATAATAATTTGATGAATAAATACGAATTTGCTATATGATAAATCATATAAAAATAACCGTCAAAATATAAATAAATGATTTAACATAATATTTAATTACTATATAGCATATTCATATTTATTCACTATAAAAAATTACAAGTTTTATTGATTTTGACCAAGTGACTGGAATAAAGAAATACACTATATGCAATGTCATGTATGCATTATTCTCTGTGCATCAAGAGGATTTGACAATGGCTATTATGTCTGAATAAGTAGAAAAAAAAATTTTTTTCTGATACGTATTATGATTTCTGTAGTTTTTCGCATGTGTATAACGTCACGGACAAAATTGGATGTTATATTGCCTGCCCAGAATCAGAAAGTAATCACCAATATTGTTGGATTTTACAAAATTTTTTAATGCAAGGGATTTTATAATATTTTTAATGCAAGGGATTTACGGTATAATATTTTTAATGCAAGGGTTTTTCATACAGGAATTTAAATTAATGTGTTAATTTTGGAAACTATTACAACTTTAAAATTAAAATTACAAGTTTATTCTATTATAGAAGTAAAAAAATTAGGTGCAATACTTAGTAAATAACTTTCACGACTTCTTATCACATAATGTAATACAATTGAAAGGATTTTCATTCTATCATTCCAGCATTCTGTCGCAGCTGACCGTAACGGATTTTTTTTTTCAAGAAATATTTGTTACTTGAATCCTTAACTAAGGCATATGATGAAAATTTATTTACTGTTTGAAATAAACAATTCAAATACTTAACGTGTGACCTGACCTTAATCTATCTATCCCCTAAAAACATTTATTCCTTCCATAGTTAGATCCAGTCAACTATCGGAGTTTTTATATTTAACTCATTCCGCTAATAATGATACAGGTTAATCAATTTTAGTTAAACATACATACATATATACTTTACAATAATCATTTATGCAGCTCTTTCGCGCCCAACCCTGTTAAGGCTAATCTAAATTTCAATCTGTACTCTAAAACTTGGAGTTGCATCCATTCGCGTTTACACGAGACATGAATCTTGTCGTAGTTAATATGAAAGTTACATCAAACTGGTTTTAATATAAGCCATATAATTATTAATGAATTATTACATGTGCGAACGGTGATAAATATTTATTTATTCAAAAAAAGTTTTTTTTTTTATAATGCAAATATATATATTATTATTTAGTTTTATTGAATGTCGCGGCTGATGAGGGAAATGGGGTCTTTATTGAAAATATAAATTCTACTAAACTCGTTTATGATCTTTTATTATCACCCTAAATCCTACCTTAATTATATATATATATATATATATCTCTCAAAAAATTTTAAAAGTTCAATTTCCACCATTAGTCGCGTTATTGAATATTAAACATGTTTAGTTATGTAACTGCCCAAGGTAAATTTGTCACAATACACCGTTCGTTCTCAATTTTTTTTTTTTTTTTTTTTTTTGATAAAAGAATCATGCTGTTTGTGATAATAAATTTATCTTAGTACAGTCAACTATGTATATATTAATCGGGATTTAAAACTCCGCATCGTTATAACAGTTTTTACTAATAGGTTTCGCGTTTATAATACTTTTTTCAAGAAAATGTTATTTTTATTAATATTAAACGACCGAACCTATTAGTTTGATCAGACTTCATGAAATTTCAATAATTGCACTGCGAATATGTTTGTGTTTTTCCTGGCACGTGACAAATTTCATTAAAATTATTTCGGTGTAAGGTGTTATATCCATAGTTGAATGTAAATTTGGTTTAACAATGATTAGTTTTTGGTTCCTTTGTTTATTTAAATAGGCTTATATATTAAATACGTACAAGCAAAAGTAACAAATTAATGTTTATTAACCTAAACTCTAGACGATCCTGTCGATAATGAATCGAATTATTTAGGTAGGTCTTATTTTATTTATCTATTTTTTTTTTTTTTTACATTGAATCATTTTGCTACTTTAAAGCAAGTATTTTAACGTGTATCGATTAATAACGTATTACTGCTGTCGTAAAGGATCGTAAACTGCACAATAATTATTTGTCGGGAATAATACAAATTTCATGTGACCTTATCAAAAATATGATAAACTAAAAACAAAAAATAACCTAATTTTTTTAACATTAGGCTACACAGTTTGTGATGACTCTTCAAGTTTGTCGCCAGTTATTCCTATTCCTGAGCCTATTTATTGTCAGCCAACAATAAATTATTATGACGTTAGAAAAGGTAAAAAAAAATTTATTTTACCATGTTACTTATTATGCAAATTTATAATTCTTATTTACATTAGTGTTAGATAGTCCTGGTGATGACAATATATCGGATTTATTGTGGTTATTGCGATTCGTTTATGGTAACATGCCAATTGTAGTAAACTACTATGATCGGAGATCAGGTAAAAGCTTTTTTTTATCTTCGAATAAGCTTTGTCAAAAATTTAATAATTTAATTTCATCATTTTAACTTAGATTACGGTTATTATGATCGCTCTCCGGATGTATTGTCTATTGTTTCTGGTGCTATTTCTGATCAAACAACTTCAGTCACAGTAAACTATCATGACGCTAGACCAAGTAAAAAAATTTTTTGCTATTTAAGCAGTTTTTTTTCAATAATGTAATAATAAAACTACGTTATTTATAATACTGTATAACGTAATTTTGCTATTAATTATAATTTAATGCAATATCGTACAATTTTAATAAAATTATCTCATTCGTTAGATTATGAGACTTTATTGCTATCAAATGTATTGGAATTTATTCATGATCCTATCAAATTGAATTACCTTCGCTGGTATCCTGAATCAGGTAAAAATTATTTTTATCTTCAACAGAAAATTTTTTTAATTTTGCAAAACATTAACCTAATTTTTATTCTTAATTTAGATGATAGTAATTTATTAAGTTCATTGTTTATCCCTAGCCAACAGCATGTCAATTATACTTTTATTCCTGGACAACAACCTGCAAGTTATATTGCTGAGCAATGGTTTACTAGTAATGTCATTGTTCCTGGATTCGTCAATAATACCTTTATTCCTGCAAGTCATATTATTGTTCCTGGACAACATATCACTGTTGATGGTCAACAACCTGCAAGTTATATTATTGCATCTGGCCAACAGACTGCAAGCCATATAATTGTTCCTGAACAACTACCTCCTATAATTGGTCATAGAAAAAGAGGTAATAAAGAAATCATCAATTATACGTGTATTATCTGTGGGCTCAACCGCAAATCTCCAAAGGAATGGAGAGAACACAATATGGTCAAACACAAGATAGTTTACCACAATTCACCTTAATATCACACTGAAACTGTTATATCAAAGAAGCAATTATTTGACGCTTCTTTTGAATTTTCTAATTGTGTTGATATTCGATATGACATACTTATCTAAGACCTCAATTTTTGTTTATTTTTTTATTAGTACTGGAGGGTTTAAAATTAGTAATTTGTGCTTTTATTTCGATTTAAATCCTTTTTTTTTAAAAAAAAGTTATAAATTTCATTTGGATGCTCTTATTTAACTTTCTGATTTTAGATTTCGAAATGTAAACTATTTTTAATATTTTATCAAAATATCTTTTTTTTATGATTTTATATATACTTTATTTGTTAAGAAAAAAATATATGAATAAAATACTTATATTTATTAAAAAAATTATATATATATATATATATTAGAAATTATGTTAAAAAAAGGTTGTTTTATGGCGACCAGGAACAGTGAATACTTCCATTAAGAATAAAATGAAATTATTATAGCCAATCAATTTAAAATAATTCCAAAATTGAATTTTGATTGGATACTTAAATTTATTGATAACGATAACGATAATACCAAAATAAAATAGAATTTTATTTTATATTTTTTAAAAAAAGCCAAGATTTTTTTAATTTTATTTTATTTATTTATTTATTATATTTGTATTATATTTATATATATTAGGCCATACAAATTTAATTACTTGGTTTTATAACATGAAACTTTTAAATAGACCCGGCTGCCCGGCTTTTTTTTTTTAAATTTCATATATAAAATTTTATAAAATTTATATAATTTTTTTTTAAATCCACCCAGTTATTAAAACATATAAAAAATTTTTTTTGAAATTTTCAAAATTTGACCTGGCTGGGTTATGAAAACCAATTAATTAATTTTGCATGGCCTTATATTTTAAATTATATAAATATTATAAATAAAACTATTGCTATTTATACCTCCAATTTTTTACTACTTTATATTAAATACGTACTATGATTTTATACTATCACAGTATATGAATTTAGTATTATACTTTTGGTTATAAATTATTTTGCATATTGATTTTATTTAATAATTAGATTATTGATTATTGGTTAAATAATTTTTTTTTATTGGCTGCTTCACATCTAATAACTATCAATATATAATATATAATAGTGTAGATAAACACTATAACGATAAATACTGTGAGATAAACACTATGAGACAAACACTATGAGACAAACATTATGAGACAAAAATACAATATGATTGGCTACTG